ACTGACAGGCCTGTAGTTCCCCAGAGCCTCCTTCCAGCCCTTCTTGTAGATGGGCATCACATTGGCAAACCTCCAGCCAACTGGGACCTCCCCGGTTAGCCAGGACTGCTGATAAAGGATGGAACGTGGCTTGGCGAGCACTTCCGCCAGCTCCCTCAGTACCCTCAGGTGGATCCCATCCGGCCCCGTAGACTTGTGTGTGCCTAAGTGGTGTAGCAGGTTGCTAACCATTTCCCCGTGGATTATGGGGGCTTCATTCTGCTCCCTGTCTTCCAGCTGAGGGGGCTGGGTACCCAGAGAACAACTGGTCTTACTATTAAAGACTGAGGCAAAGAACGCATGAAGTACCTCAGCCTTTTCCTCATCCTTTGTCACTGTTTTCCTTTGCTGCTCATGTTTAGTCTTCCTGCTGAATCTTAGGAAAGCTGTTGGGTGCACACAAGGTGCAAGCACCCTAACAAAACAGGCAGAGAGTGACTCACACCACAAGTGCTTTGCACAGGGAAGCTACAGTCTTTCTTACGCAAGTGTCTGAGTCCATCAATCCCAGATCCTCCTCTTTATCTCCGAGAGGCTACCAGCACAGAAAAGGTAGGCAGCCAGCTGAACTACAGTCCCACCCCACTGCTAGCGAGTCACAAGCATCGCTACACACATAATTTATTTAAACTGGACATCAGTGCCAACCTGAATTGGGACAGCATCCCAAAAACCCAACATCTATTTTCATTCCAGGACACACGTTTCCTTACAGTCCCAGGGCAGAGGCAGCCCCAGGGCAGCTGAAACCAGCCATCTCCATGGCACGAAGGTGGGTTCTGCATACAAAGCAGTAAAGCTAAGACACGCCCTCCCACGCTAAAGTGTGCATACTGTCCATAGACATCGCAGCGAGAAGTGGTGTGCTGTAGATAAAGAATAAGCAAGGCAGTCGGAGAAACGACACACTTGGAAAAGAGCAATACAAACTTTTTAATGCTGGAGCTGTGGGACACGTAGCACGTAGGCGGCTAAAAGCAGAGCAAGTCTGTGAACAGGATAATAACCCATAAACCAAGGAGCGCTCAGCCACGAGGCTGGTAATCGAAATACACTCTGGCAGCTTGGGAACAGGAGGGATGTTACAATAGTACCTCAGGAAACCACTGGCACATAGTCTGATGGAGAGAGAGGGGCTGGCTCATGCAATGAGTGGGCCTGTGAAAATGTGTATTTCTATTCTTTCTGTGTAAAAGCTTAGAGGAGGGGAAAATACACTTTAAATATTTAAATATATATAAATATATTTAATTTAAAATACATATATTGAAAAAACCCACAACTCTTTTCTGTCCCCTTCACCAGATCTTCACAGGAATTGTCCTGCAGATAGGTTGGCACTTTAGCACCCTGCCAACACATTAAATTACAAGAACAATAGAAACAACAAAGTGAATCTCTTCTACGCGTGTAGCACACTGACCAGTGTAGGATGCAACAAGCACCAGCGGCAGCACAAAGCGGGGGATCACAACAGCAGAGTCAGGGGAAGAACCAGAGCAGCTCAGGCCAGCAGAGAACCGCAGACCCAGGGACTCACCCTGTTCTCCAGCTTTTCAGAAGATTGCCTATCAAGAAGCTTAGCCTGCACCCCAGACCACACACCACCTCAGAAAGCAGAAAAAGGCAGGAATGTTTGTTTTCAGTGGAGCACGCCGGATTATTCTCCGTTCATAGCGCTAACTTTGTGGTAGAAGTAATGGCTAGTACATTCGTGAGAGATACCTGAGGCCTTCTCCAACAGCATTTGGCTTGGAAAAGGAAATTCATAAGCAGAAAGGTAATTCCAGTCACATCTCAAATCTCCTGCTAAACAGCGGGAAAGGGAGTAAAGCAACAGTCTCACCTTGAGCATCACCTGCATCTGAGATGAAGCTGAAAGCAGTGTGCAGAGCAAAGCGAACGAGGAGCAGCCAAGCACCGAACAGCAGCTCAAGACGACGTGCAGGAAATGTCTTCCCCTCAGTGAGAGGTCCAAAGACTTACAGTTAATGAAGCCAGTGACAATGTTTTAAATAAAACTGTAAACCATCGTTTGAGAACAGTTAGAGGGTGCATGCTATCTTACAGTACCCACACAGACTATCACCTGTGGAATGAAGGTGATGACCTGTGTGCTTTGGAAGAGGTCGGCCTTCACATTTCAGCTCTGATTTCTTTCTAGTTAAGCTATTAACATTTTTCACAACTTACCCTTGCTGCTCAGAAAGCTCTAGCTGGGAGGCCCAGCAGCACATCCACAAGCTTAAAGGCCAGTGTTCATAGGAACAAGCATTTTCTCCCATTATCAGCCCAATGTCTAGGTGTTTTATAGCAAATAAGGAAGGAACTGATTTGCAGCCCTCACTCCTGCAGCGTTCAGATAGGAATACTATTCACTTGCCCTCGTTAGCACCGCAAGGAGCAATGCTTTGATCTGATACTTAATAGCACACGGCCAAATGTCTAGAAGCTTTACAGGAGAGAGCATCTGCAGCCTAGCCCCTGCCTCAAGATCCAATATCAGGATCTTCCCACCAGTATAGGCTTCCATCACGCCAGGGTGTGGGATATCCATGATCCCGTCTGGCAGACGGCTGAATGTCGCACATTCTAAACTTCCAGACAGCATCATCTGGACGAGGAGGACAAAAACGCCTGCAGCCGCTATTTAAAGCTGCTGAATATTCTCGTGTGTCTGATGGCAGGAGGCAGAGACATATTCAGTGATGGACAATAAGGACCCTCATGGGCATGGCCATGACAAGCAGGTTTTCATGGGTTGTTAAGTCTCACGTAAGCTTTTAACAAACCAAGAGTAAAATACTGCAGGACGCACGAGCAAGGATGGAAGCCTGATGTTACATCCCGTGCAACATACAGCATACGCCTATATATATACACAACTATGTAACAGCTCTGGGGTGGAAGCAGTAGACAACCAGGCCCACTCTGCTGCCTTTGCTAGAAAAATCTGCTGAGTTCCTTGCCGTCTCTCAAGCAGTCAATCACTCTTCCCAGGCATCATTCCAGGGGGCTTCATTTCTATGGGACTCTGTTTCCAGACAGTGTTCAGCAGGCCCTGGGGTCCAATCACCGCTACGGTTCAGTTACACATCTAAGTTGGCTGCAGTCTGTGTCACAAAATTCACTCTAGGCTACATGGCCTTTGGGAATGCAACAAGAAACAGCCTGTTGCTTCCTGCCACCAGGGAGAAATTAATACCGTCAAAAACCTACCGCGCTCTTACTCCCATATGCTTAGAGACCATCTTTTGCTGATTAAGTACCCTTAAGTACTAAGAGGTATTGAAGCAAGTTGCCTTTGGCAAGTCACCTAGCCTTGTGCTGTACTGGAAGATGGGTTGTCACACTGACTCTCTCAAAGACAGCTGTCCTCACCACTGGAATTGCACTCCTGATGTACAACCACCCTTGGGGTTCATGGGTGCACTTCAGCCTCCTCGCCAGCAACAGCATTCTGGGACTAACATAAACACACACAAACCTACCCTTGACCCAGCAAACTCCTCGCTTTGGTTTCACGCCCTTTCTGCTGCAGACGAGCTGCCACGCAATTGTGACGCAGGCTGTTAAACCTTACTTCTAGATTTGTAAATATTTTTACAGCAGTGTGTAGAATATCCCCCCATTTTATATGGAAAGAAACCAAAGCTCAGAGAGGTGCTGGCAAATCGCCTACAGCCAGCAGACCAGTGGCAGACTTGGCAACCAACCCATCTCCTACGGGCCAGCCCAGCGCCCGGGCGGCGTGGACATACTGCCTGCCTTCCAGCAGGGCCCTCAGCTTGGGAGAAGGCAAGAACATCCTGTCGCCTTTGGAGCAGTTCACTGAGTGCGGTCCCAAAGGGCCATTTGGTTTCAGTCATAAAACACCACGCTCAGGCAAGCTCTTGGCATGGCAGCGGCTAAGCCAAGGAGAAGACCTAAAGGACTTCTCGTATCTCCCCCCTCCAACTCCATACACTTGAAGGTAAAGAAACAACTGCATCCCTCTGGTAGAAAAAGACAGCACCAAGATAACTGGAGTGTCCCAATAAAAATAAAAAAGACACCTCGTGTCCAACTCTGCATCCCAAAGTGAGCAGGTCAGTGCCAATGCCTGTCAGAATCACTGTGCAAGGTGAGAGACACGAAATGCCACCAGCTGGGGTGTGGGGACATTGCCAGGGCAAGGGGGAGAGGAACGCTAAGGTTTGCTTAACATTAACAGACATACGTATCTGGAACAGTTATTCCTTTACAGCCTCATAAATTAGTGAGCTCATAAAAACAGGAGCCTCGAGGAGGACATGCCAAAACCCTGCCATGCAAACCATGTTAATTATGATAATAGGCAGATTTTAATAAGCCAGTTCCTGGCTCCCGCACTTTCACCTATAAAACACACATGTTTCCAAGGCCAGGGGATCTCAGAAATACCTGCCAGCCCTCTAATCGTCTAAACCCCAGTAGCACAAAAAATATGTTAGAGGGCTTGTCACACCCTATATCCCTTTGAATTTTTCTAGTAAAAAAAAAAATAAAAATCAGATGAAAGAAAACTCCTCCTCTGTAAACCCCAATCTAGTCACAGCAATGAAACAAATGTCTCGGCACAGGCGGTGGTAGTGGTAAAGGAGACAGGAGGGCAAGAGGAGGGAGCTGAAGGAATGGTAAATCATCTTCTCCAGACGACGGGACCAGGGAGCTCCTGGATTCCTGGCTGCGTAGTTCTGGCAGCTGACGCTGCTCTTCCTCCGATGCCCTGGCAGAGAGTCAGGCAGCACTGCCGTCCGCTTCAAACATCTGCCAGCCCAGCCCGTTGGAAGCGCGTCTGTGCTGAACGCTGGAGCGTGGAAGGTGAGGAGGGGGAGCCTGCCGGATCAGCTAAGACTTTAGCTCCCGGTCGGGTTTCATGCTGAAGGGCTCCAGCCTCTCGCTCTCTGGCAGCATGCTGTTCAGCCGCTCCATCAGTGGGATCGTCTGGTCGATGCCCATCTGTATACGGCGGAGGATGGCAGACATTTCATTGACCTTCTGGATCTGCTCCGCATACTTGGCATACTTCTTCTGGCGTTCCTGCATGAAGCTATAAAGAGTTTCCACAGAGAGGTCCATCTGTTTAAAAACAACAAGCAGAGTGAGGCGCATTAGGCCGACTGTTACCACAGGCCCTTCAGCACGTTGTCTTTCCTAAAAGCAACCGAGAAGCATGTTAGACACCCCACTGGAGCTACCAGCCAGGTACAAAGGAGCTCCTCTGTTGGGGCAAAAATACACCCAAATGCTGAATATTTGATCAGAAAATTTTTATTTACAGGGTTGAAAGCCAACAGGCACTGCCAGGGATTTCCCAATAAACTATCCACATATCCTCCAAGTTATCCAAACCCAGGGAACTCATGGCCTCTGCCTACACCTGTAGTATATTTTCAGTGGAGGCTGTTAATTTGCAAGCATTAAGCTCTACCGTAGTTGCCAGTGCTAATTTCATCAGCTTAGCCAGGTTAGTCTGTGACTAAGCCACTGCTGTTATTACCATCGTCATCTGGAAAACTCCTGCCTTGGGAAAGAATCACAATGGATTGCTAGTGTCCCTAATTTCCCCGAATCCTAAAAATAAATGTGTTATGAATGACCCCAGGAGAGACATTAAGTAAATCAGCCATGCAATTAAACACCGTAAGTACCCAAACATGGCTCTAGCGTGATGACAATGACAGGAACTGCAGTGCTATTCCTGCCATTGAGTGACAAAGGTAGCCTTTATAATTCACAGCCCAACTTTCTCTTCAGCCAAACCTGTAAACTCCAGGCAGGATTCAGCCAATAGCTGCTAGTACCGTACACGTGAACCAAGGCAGATGGTTTAAGCTGTTTTACACATTGTAAAACATACCATATATTCAGAGAGCTTGGTAATAGATCTGCTCCAAGCCCTCAAGTGCACACCTGAAGCTCGGTTGCTTCGGCCTGCTGTAGCTGTGCTCGACAACCCCCGTTGCTCTCCTGTGATGGCTCTTCAAACTGGTATGTCTGAGCGGTTGGAACGCATCCTGCAACCACGCTCTGTTGTGGTGGAGAGCAGTTCCCTTGCTTGGGACTCGGCGCATGCCCACAGTGGCTGCCCAGTGAAGGGCAGGAGCGGACACATGCTGACCAGTTTTAGCCTACTGCCGCCTCTTATCACTGTTTTTCTGAACCTCTCCCATCTAATTACCCCCAGAGGAAGGAGGTCACCACTCATGATGAAGCGGCCTCAGGGAATCGCTGCTGAGGACTCCTGGTCTACCAGGAGTCCCCGGTTCAAACAACATCCCTCGCTTTAACTGTGTGACAGAGTCAACCCATTCAGTGGAGGACAGCGACCATACCTGTCATCAGGGACAACACAAATTTATCAGTGCACTGCTAAAAAACAAGCCGTGCTGACCAGGTCTGACCTACATAGTACTTAATGGGCAAGTGTAATCCTGCCCCAGCACTCAGTGGTGCGGGCCTGTAGGGGAGAGCCTGCAGCAAAGGAAGGACTGGGTGGAAGCAGTGCAAAGCTAGAAGGGGGATCCCCCACTGAGAAGGGAAGTCCCACCCGACCGAGCACTGCTGTCCTGCTGGCAGCAGCAGTGTTTGACACTGGGGGAAAAACTAGGGGAGCTGTGTTTGCTGACAAACGTCCCTTTCAAGCCCTGGGGAAGGGGTCAAGACAAAAACAGTCAGGCAAGAAAATATTTTATTGAGAAATGTAAGTAACAAACAGCATTGAAAACAAACACACAAGTTTCCGCTGAACTGTCATGGGGATTAGGAAGCATTTTTTTTTCCCCCTATCACCGCCATCAGAGCTGGATACAGTACCAATTAACCTTTTATTTGGTTTGTACTTTCTAGTGCTCTCAGGCCAAATTTTTCCTCTTTGCCTCTGAGCTTTCCTGTGAATTCCTCCCTCCACGCTTTCATGCACAGGACAAAATAAAAACCAGCAGAACAGGAAACTCCAAATAGAGTGGAAACAATTTAAGCCTGCACAGGGGTTTCTATTAAAACCCCAGCTTAATAATTTAGTAGCTTGGCGCTAGCTCTGTAAATTGGAGTGTGTAAAAAGCAGACCACCACCAGGTCTGCACGGGATGGAAGTAAATTCAATCCAGCACCTAAAAACATCCTACCTAATGAGAGACAGTGGCATGGAGTGGCAGCCAGTTGGAAACCTGCCAAAAGCCAGCACGCCTCATTAAACTGAGCAGCGCGGGGACCCAGGCAGAAACCTCCTCTGGTGTTGAAGTTCTCCTCCACAGGCAGGTTCTCCACATGGTCTCACAGCGCTGTGCAAGAAGCAAAGCGCGCATCTACCAAGCTCTGAAACAAAAAAACCCAAAGACCCCCTTTTCTTTCCATTCCAATAATTTTCATTTGTTGACTTTTGGGCTCCTTGTGTAAATACCAGTGCGTCCACCTACTGGAGGGAAACATGGGGAGAAGCTCAAGCTGACCTGCAAAAGGAAGAAGAAATGCGGAGTGGCCTTCCAAGCTCTTTGCTACTTTTGGACACATTCACAATGGCTATAAAAAAAGCTGCTTCACAAAAAAGAGAAAGGGTGGAAGTGAGTGTTTCCTATGGTTTCCCTACACCTAGCGTTCCAGTTTGTCTGCTGCGGGAAGCCACGGCAGCTGCACAGACAGTGACACGACAAGGGGGACTTAAGTTGAGTAATTGTGAGGAAAGGCCAATTTTTACTCGGACTGAACCTGGTCTTTTTAACTAGGAAAAAAACCCCAAAAAACCCCTTACGTGTTAACTCTTGTATATAAATGCCAATGCCTCTTTGCAGCTTTCCTTGAAGCGGGCCTAAATACACACTTACATCCTTCCTGCCTCCTCCCCCTCCAAGCGAGCTCCTCCAGTGCCAGACCTTGTGCTTTTACCTTTCCTGGCGCTCAGTCCCATTCCTCTGGTGCTCAGACTGGGCCTTCAGTTGCAGGACTCAGAGGATTAGCCCTATTTACCCACCACAGAGACTAAAACTATCCTTTGGGAATCTGCAATTAACAGGGAATGCGCATAAGAATCCGCTTAATTCCCAACTATTTAATTCCATACAGTAGCAATAAAAAGCATCTGGAGAAAGGGAGCTTAGGCAAGTCTGCTCCCTTGCCTACAGCCAAGGCAGCCCATGCTTTTCAAGACACCCTCGAGGGTCAGATGAGTGAATTTGCCTTCTCTGAGCAGCTCCCATCAACTCCCACCTCCCACACATGAGGCCCTGCCACAGCCTCTTCTGAAAAACACTCAGGTCCTAGCCTTCTCACCCATCCATGGCTGAGAAGCTCTCTGGGAAGCCCAGCAAGACGCCTCAGAGCCAGCAGCTCTTCCATTGCCCTACAACCATCTGCAAGTGTTTATTTGAGCCATTGCTTCTGCTCTGCTTGCTTTGAGCTTCCTACTACACCAGGCCACCACAGTTGCGGGGAACTCCCCTGTCAGCAGGTCACCACCCTGTACCTGTAAGCCATGACAGATGTGGAGCTGCACTGTCACCAGCCCCTTGAAAGCTTCACCATCACCAATTTCTCCTTCAAACATCACCACTGAGTAAGGTATCATCATCCCCAACTTACAGGTACAGAAGAGTTTAGAGAGTCAAAAGACTGGACCTGATGCCTGTTATGAAGGAACAGAACAAGAGCAGAGGACAGAGCCCAGCACGCAAGGTCCTGGTCCTATTTCTCGTCAAAGCGAGAGGTTCTGCCCAGCCTGGTCTTGAGGAAAAAAGACATGTTCTCAGTGAAGGGGTGAGAGCTCCCAATGCACATTTTATTTCTTTCCAAAAATAATTCCTCCTGTTAAAGCAGCAAACCTGAGGCTGGATACGCCCAGAGTAGAAGACAGGATTTTTCCCCCCTTCCTACATGAAAAGGATGGAAGAGTTTTTTCAGTTTTTCTTCTAGGAGTATAGTATCATAAAAACAGACAAGCCTAAAACTCACCTTCCAGCATGATGTACTTTTTTGTACAGCCAGTGACTTTCAGAATTTGGGTCTGTTTCTATAAGCTCATGACTCCTCCGTGGATCAGTAGCAGCAGGACACTAATTTATGCCTCAGCTTCACATTTTAAACATGAAATGACATCTACTGGGCTTTTCTTTCCTCAAATGAAAACAGATTCATAATTACTTCCAACAACAGTGCAAGATAGATATTCCCCCACTTAAAAGGGCCCCAGCACAGCCCCTCCTGCTACACCATTCACATTGTCAACCAGTAAGGGCTCGCAGATTCTCCTCTGCGTTACACAGGCCCATTTGTAACACCACACTGATGAAACACAAAAACAACTGAGGGGACTTTCAGACATCTTGCACAGCACAAATTCTTGCATTCATTTTAGAATTCTTCTTGGCCCACACTGCCAAGCAGAATAAAGACATTAATTTAGCCCATAAAAAGACTGAGGTCAGCACTGGACACTGCCCAATTCTTTTCAAGAGACCACACTGAAAACAAACCAGTGCCCTATATATACCTCTTACCTGGCATGGTTTTATAGCACCTCTGTCATGGGCATGTAAGTGTCCTGAGCTCTCAGAAACAGAGGTCACATCTTGTTAGTTCAATGACTGAGACTGAAAATTACATTTTCCCTGGTTGCAGAACATGCAAACGCAATCAGAAGTTCATTAAACTTGGAATCAAATTTCTAGAGAGGCACTGCTGACATTCGTAACAAAACAAATACTTCTCATAAGAGGATGCTCTGTCATTCCCAGCTTCTCCACTCCCTCCTTAAAACGCCAGTAAGGCAAGAAGACCTTTTGCTTCCCCCCCACTGAGCAACAGCCTTCAAGAGCTCAGCTAGACATCCACTTGTCCTGTATCCCTCTGCCCTAATGATCTGCTGTTAGCTCCCATCCCCTACGGCTGCCACTCAAAAAAACACAGCAATTGGGGTGCAATCCTTATTCCAGAAAGTTCACTTGCTAGAACAGTGCTCTGAGCACAAGCAGCCTTTCCCTTCACGTTGTCAGGTGCCTGGCTGGGGTTAAATGAACTCCTTCCTGCAGCTGCAGAAAAACCACATCAGAAAGTGACAGGCGGGAACATGACTGCATGGAATATTA